AACGGGTATTGAATTTATTAAATCCACGACTTAAAAAAAATAAAACCATATAATTAAAATCTAATGTGCTTAAACTTCCTCCATATAAGCTTGTGAGTATGTTAAAATGTGTTTTATACCATCATCAATCAGTGGCTCTCCGTTTTTGACCATTCCCATATTAACTTACAATCTTCTGATAAAAGGCAGATTACAGATTGCTTTGAAACGATACTGTTGACTTGCAGGGGTATCCCAGGGTATGAAATTAGGTCCGCTAATAGGAGGTTCTAAGATGTAGGGTATTAGAGCTTATTACTTCTTTATCCGCAACTAAGTACATCTCACCAGGAAAGACCCAAGACACGGATACACAAATGTTTAATCACACAAAAACAAAACAATGCCAAACAATAGACTATAAAATAAAACAATAAACTACAAAACAAAACAATATACTAGAAAACAAAAACAACCAAGTGTGAAACTGTGTAAGAGAGAGAGAGAGAGATTTGAAAGTAAACCTATATTAAAATCTGTCACCAGTTCCAATGTAACCCTTTGTAACTTAAAAAAAGAACATCAAAGAAAATAAAAATATCCCCTACTAGTTAAATAAAATAAAGCAAACTGTGAAATTCCAGGTAAGCTTAAATTTCAAAACACTTACTTCATTTTAAATGCTGGACTACAATTCCCCCCAGAAACAGCAAGCCGCAAATATTGGGATAAAAAAATCAATGTTAAACACAATCTTTACTTAATGTGAGCTTTAACACTCCACGTGAAAGTTTAAACTGTAGAAAAACCACTCCAAATCTGAAATTTCCGAAGCAGACCTCGTCTTGACTATGCCGATAAACTTCACTAAGTTAATAAATAGAAGACTAAAATCTGCATCAAGCCTCACAGCGGCCAAGTGTGCCGTGTTTTTGTAAAGTGTGTGGCTACTCCGAGCTGTTGTCTTTCTAGCTACACAAAGAGTCAAATCATAGAGGAGGAACTCGGATAACTGCATAATTAAGAATACACTTACTTTGAACTTCTAGTAAAAGAGAAAGTTGAGCAATTTACTCGAGTGCCTCACTGTGTTAAAATGGAGAACTACGAAAATTGCAACGATTTAAAATTTTTTACACGTTCACTAAATGGGTGAGAAATACATAGTACATTCCTGTTCTACACATTTTCTCCTGCTGCCCCTAACATTAATACTACAAAAAGAAAAACTTTAAACATGTGATACTCAAGAAATCAAAATAACTCACTGTTATCCAAATAAAACCACATGCCCTACAAAACTAACAAATAAAAAGCAAAAATAATTTGTAAAACAAAACATTAACGTGTTTTAAATACTCACCTATTCACTTTAGAAAGGGGATGGTCTAACATATTATCCAAACCTGAAAACAAAAACAATGAAAACACCATTTGAAAACGAAAATCGTACATTACAAAAATGAACCCTTTAACAATGAAACTACATAAATCAATACCCTTTAGTAATGAGAAAAGCATCACAAATGTACTTTAACAAAGACCTATCCCCTTTCGGAGGGATAATCTAATAAAATATACATCCAAACCAATTACTCTTAATATGAAAATGCATAAGATAATCTTTAAATTACACTTAAAAGTACAAAGCAAACACAGTTATTAAAAACAATTGCATATATACAATGTAAGCACAACAGAACTTAATTAAAGTACGAAAATACATAAATACACTGTACAAAACAAAATCGCTAAATCTAACCCTTAAACTAAACAACAGTAAACATATGTTTATATACACACTGTACAAAATATAAAAATCAATAAGTATATATATAAAAAATTCACTAAAAATGTATAATTTAGATGTGAGCTACTCATCTAAAGGGGCTCCAAAAGCGATCCCTTTAATGCAGTTGTGGATTTGTGAAACGCCACGTTGGTCTGGTGGATGATATCTTTGGCTCTTGCAAGAACCTTCTTAGTCAACACCAGATCCTTTCATAGTTGACACACCTTTTTCTCTAGCTGTGTTTGCTACTCTCTGCACGTACTTCAGCAGATGGTATTTTATCAATATTATAAAGCACCCAGGTCTCCATCCATACTGCTGCCCGATCCTGATAGCAGTACTTTAGCACCATGATCTTTTTCCAGCATTTAGTTAGTGTTTAATTTCTGTCAGAGGCTTCGTGGGAAGTACCAACTGCTTTATCCTTCCTTCCAGAGGGACTGCTGCCACTGGTGTAAGTGGCATTGATGCCTTGGTGATCTTGGATTTTTAGGAGTCGGGTTCACTCTTTCACTCCAAGAGAGAGTCTGGTTCTGGAATAGGCTGGAATGGCTCATAGCTCCTTAAGTTTAGTAATCGGGACCACTAATGGTGAGGTGGCAGATAATGTTTCTTCATGCTCCAGAGCCCAGAAGACAAACCCCACAGTCGCAGCCTCCAACAACTGTATCATCGAGCAATGCTCCTCCATCAATAGGTTTTGAAAACATAAAAATTAGGCCAGCCCCATATCCGGTAAGCAATGGTGGAAATCCTGAAACGTCCAAAAAATTAAAAAGAAAATAGTCAACGTTAGTTCCTCCAATTTTTCATGCAGTAGTAGAGATAGATATAAACAACATAGAGAATATGCTTAAATCTAACTGGCATGTTAACTAAATGAAGATAGCCAGAAGGGTTAAGAGTTTGGTCTTAAATAGAGAAAGTCAGGACTGAAAACACTTGGCCCAAATTACTTTGATTGGTCTGAAAAACTCAGTCAAGAATGTGGTTTGAAGTTGTAATGAATGACCCAGTTACGAAAACATCAAAAAGAAACCTGTGATCGAGCTCTTTGTCTGCAGACTTATGTGTGCTCGCACTTAACGCGCCTGTAGGAAACGATCCCTACTACCTATATACTGCAGGCATCCTCGGATCTCGAACTTGAGCCCAACTTTATTTGTACTCTCTCGTCACAGGTATGATGTTGGTTTACAGCTAGCTTGTGAACCTGACGAATTCCTTCCACTATTATTTGGTTGTTGATCTAACAAAACCCTGGTCCAGTAGGAAAGAAGTGGGGGAGGAAGGCAAGAGTAGCCACACTAATGACCATTATAGATGAAACTCCGCTAAGTTGCTGACCTGATGCCTCCAAATGTGGAAATTCATTGACATCTGAATTTTCTTTACCAAACTACTTTCTTCAGCTACTAATTCAGCATAGAGGAGTATAGCTAGATCTCACGCGCAAAGTTTACACATTGTCTCTAGCATCACAGTCTGAATTTTCATGGACTGGCCTTGCACTAAGTAATGTTATGAACATAAATTTGTGTTCTTTGGAAATACTTCGATCTGCATGCAGTTAACTTCATACTTCAAAGCCTTAACATCCTGATGAAGTTCTCCTATCCCCATTCAAGGATTGCCTTCTGGTTGCATTTTCAGTGACTGATTAATTTTGTGTTGGGCAACACTTATGAATGACTGTTTACAGTTTCATAGATGTGTGCAAAACTTTGCATATTTACATACACGTAAGTATCCAACTTCCATACACCGTGACATATATTAGTAGCTTCTGAAAGACTGCCTCAGGTGTGTGTGTACCATTATCACAGTAGCTTACGTGAGCTACATTCGGGAACCACCTGTGATCTTCACGGTCCGGTAACTAGATGAAAAATTCCTGGGATAACTATGTAGAACTAGACTAGTCAACCAAAATTCCTTATGCCAGAATTAATAAGCAGAGTTATTTATCCGATTCACCAGCTAGAAAAACAACCGTTTCTCTCTAGCCATGTAACGAGTAGTTTTTCATGGAATAGAAACTCGGATAATATAATAATTACAAATACACCAACCAAGCACTTCTTGTGAAAGAGAAAGTTGAGTAACTTACACCAGCACCTCGCTGTGTTTAAAAGGAGAAATATAAAAAAATACAATACATTTAAAAAAAATTCCCTTTAACTAATGTGCGGAAAATACATAGTACGGCCCAGTACTACACTGTTAAACATGACTGTTAGTGCAGTTCCCCTTAGCAAAAGAACGAAGCAAACTGAAGAAATAATATTCATGGCCTTTCTATCACCAACAAGGTTTTATTGGTCTCAGATGGTCCTTTAATTCGCCGAAACCTACTATTTTGTTTCACTTAGATAGATTAAATTTTTCGTACTGAATTTCTTTAAATATTCTAAATTTATAATAAAATTAGGCTATACTCACAGAAACCAACACAGCTCAAATTAGTCGCACTATTTTTTAACAATCGAGGCAGGTTCGCCCCTGGTTATCTGAACCACGTATATAAATGTACACCATTCATTTTTATATCAATATCAGAAACATTGAAGTAAATTATCTTTTATTGTAACAAGATAAAATAAATCGGTAACTCTCATTCTAAGCCTAAATATTGTAACAGGTCCATTTGTTGTATAGCAACAGAGACACCTCTGTAAACATCCTCTGTTCTAATCATCCGAAGTTGTTTAGCAAAAAAAAAAAAAGGGGGGAGGGACTAAAGAAAGTGTGAGCATTGTGAACACACGAACGTTACATTTTTACGATATATGGTGCAAAGCTAAACATGCTGCTCTGTCTGTTTTTGCTATAATTTACTCATGAAATTCTCTGAAAAGGATACGTCAGAATATTACGTTTTACGTTTGTGAGCGCCCTCTAAAGTAAACTTATATATATATATATATATATATATTACATAAAGCTAAGAAAAAAATATTTTATGAAGAGTTTACACACTGATAATTTTCATACCGACGCCCTGGTTGTTTTGCATAATTAATTGAATGGCAGAAATTAAAAATGAACTACTTTTTATGTAGTAAACTAAAAACCAACGCGTACTTTGATCGAACACAGACAACTGCAAACTCCGTCTTGATTCACCAACCAATCTCTACCAATCTTACTGACGCTATGACAGAGCCCAACCAATAGAGAACTATGTTTTGTGGCGCCTAGCAACTGTTTGTCTATATTCTAGTTGTTGATATTAAATATTCTTCACTAGTATCTCACACCGATTCCTAAAGGTCGTAATTGTGAGACAGCAGCCCCACGTTTATCTTCGTAACCATTTTATCAACCTTTTAACATGGTGAGTTGAATGATAAATTTTCTATGTTTATAAAAATGTAAGACAAGTACGTCTTTTTTTAAATACTGTATATAAATGCATATTTTGATCAGAGTTGCTTCGAAGAAATATTATACTTAAAGAGTGATAGATTTAATGACGGCGAATTAATTGTGCTGTAAATACAATGTAATCGTCAGCTTTACGTTTTCACTTTGAGAAAATGCACCAAACTATTTAAAAAATCAAGCAGATTGTGAATACCAATTGTAATTTAAAATAATACAAACTCGTTTAGTGAAGTATCTCCGACAAAGAAGACAAATTTTCAATCAATCAGACAATAACTATAGGCAGTTTTGTTACGAGAAATTTAAAGTAATAACAGTCATTCAAACATTTTATAAAAAATAATATTTCACAACAGTCGACTATCTCTGCTTTTTTCGTCTTAAAATATTACGCCTAAGCTTTTGTGGGATGATAAATTATTTTTGCTGTACATTTCGTACTTCAAACTTTTCTTGTACCCGATATTTTACGCAAGAAAAAAAAACCACCAACATTAATTTTACAGGACATATATACTAGCGTAATATTTGATAATTCACGCTTTAAAATTTACTGAATATACTGAGACAAAACGTTTTTGTTGTTTATATTGGTCATTTTCTCGGACACTGTGTTTGAAGATGAAATCTCGAAATTGAATTAGACAATCTACAATTTGTTATGCTAAAAAAAGAAATTTCATTGTATCTCTTTGTAATATTGAATAATACGAAACTTCGCTGTAAACGTAGAATTTTACTTATATAAACATACCTGTAAACATAAACTTTTACCTTTATGAAACCGACTTTTTTTAAGACGTTTATTTGAAACTTCTATTTGATTGTTAAAATTTGTGCTCGTCACAAATTAACGACGATTAGTCTTAAAAAGCGTTAATGAAAAACCTTCGGATAATATTAACAGTTTCTGGATTTACTCCTCCACACTCACGTGTCCCAGCTAGATACTCAACACAGACGGCAAGACAAGAATATACTGATATTGCAAGGATCCAGACAATAAAGGTGAAAGATAAGTACTGTGAAAACAAAAATAATTGATAGTAGTTCTATTCTACGAAGAAAACCAGTTTGGTTTCTCAGTTTTATACACTCTGCTCCCCCTCCCGCTGTCTGTTTGAAACGTTAAAGCGTTTTGATAAAACACTGACCTCCACCTTCGTAATGGCAGCTGTATGAAACGTTAGAGGGTTTTGATAAAACACTGACCTCCACCTTCGTAATGGCAGCTGTATGAAACGTTAAAGGGTTTTGATAAAAACACTGGCTTCCACATTCGTAATGGCAGCTGTATGAAACGTTAAAGGGTTTTGATAAAAACACTGGCTTCCACATTCGTAATGGCAGCTGTATGAAACGTTAAAGGGTTTTGATAAAAACACTGTCTTCCACATTCGCAATG